GTCTTCATCAAAACTTATTGGAAGCATGTCTTCACAATCTCTCCCCTTTTGATGATGACAGCCATATGAGCAAAAAAGATTAAATTTTGATCACATTGCTCCCCCTTTCTCATAGAATCATATGCTCGGATAACCCCCTAACTTTGACAATTCATACTAATTTTGATTCTTCCTGAAAATGTTAGAACACAAGCATACACGTGTATATAATAACTCCCCCTCTCCTTTGTCATTATCAAAAAGAAGTAAAAAATATAATTGAAAGTAAAACAAAATAGAGAAAATATAGAATTATCAAGAAATAAAATATAAAAACTTAACATGCTTTCAGGATTGCCATAATTTTAATAACAACCATAATTTTAATAGAACAAATTGTCATAGAACATAGTAAAAACACATAATAACAATTGTCTTAGAACATTAACCATAATAACAACCATAAAGTAAACTTGAAGAAAACCATAAAAATCATACTAAAATTAAACATAATAAAAAAACAAAGAAAACACATTAATCTTGGTTCATGAAATCTTGGTCAAGGTTGGCTTGATCATTGTTTTCTTGTGGAACAAAGTGTGGTTGACAGAATGGATAATGGTAAGGAGGTATTTCAACTAGAGGAGCTTATGTATGAACATTGAGATTATAAATCGTGTTGACAAAGAGTGATGCATAAAAGCCATGTAGTTCATAACATGTTCATTGGTTTCAGCCTCTTGTTGAGGTTCTTAAACCGGAGGAGGATTTTCTTCATCATCAACATATCAGATGGTCTTTTATTTGAAGTTTTAAATCACATTCATCTTGTTATTGCAAATATAAAATGTAATATCCCAATCTTCCATTAGCATAAATTATTCTTTTACAAGATTGACCTCAAAATGTTGAAGAATTCTAGTAATCAAGAAAGCATAAAAAAGTTTATATGAATGTCCATCATAGGAGGCCATGTGCACCAAAATCATAAAGGCCTATTTAATTGGCATACCATGTTTCATTGCAAATAAGATTTGCATCTCAGTGTCAGTAATGGTAGAGTGATTTGAAAACCTTGGTACAATAATGTAGTTCAGAAAATAGTATAACAACCTATCATTAATATATAGATTTCCAACACCCCAAGATTATCCGAAAGCTTACCACCCAATTTTTTTCACTTCTGAAAAATTTCATGCTCAAATTTTTTTCCAATACCAAAATAAAATTCTCTTTTGTCATAATTATCTAGAGGAAGAGTCTTGTGCATAGTAAACTCTAAGCCTTCAGAGGGTATATCCAAAATTATTTCCAAAAGTTCATAATCAAACTCAAAATAAAGTGCCTTTAATAGTAGAACTAATAACACTCTCATGATAATGCATGTTTGTGTAGAAGGATTTCAATAGGTCAGAAAATATGAAACCATGCATTTTTTGATTTATCAAAACTTCTCTACATTGAAAACAAGGATAAGGAAAAGTTTCCAACTTGACATACCTAGCTCCAAAAACAGGTTTGGTTAAGAAGCACTCAAGAAGTCTTTTTTGTTGATCCTAGGGGGAGGGGGTGAATTAGGACTTTTAAAAATTTATTTGATTTTTGTATCTTGTAGCTTTCTTTTCTTGATTGATGCGATAAGTGATGATAGCTATAAATGCGAAAAATAAAGAACACCGAGAATTATCCTGGTTTCCTTCACAATTCGAGAGTACTCCAGTCCTCTTACGCAATAAGAGATTTCAATATTGTCAGAAATTTTGTACAAGCCTAATCTAGACTTCTATACAGCGGGTTCTAACCTAATCACTAAGAGCTATCCTCTTGTAATTTACAACTTAAGAAAATAAGACAATCATTCCTTTTCTTACACCCTTGTTTCCAACAATCCTAGACAACAAATATAATAACCTCACAATCTTATATCCAACAATCTTGGAAAAATAAGATGTAGATACATTAGTGAATTTGAGTAGTAATAAGTTTGATAAAATAAATCCTGTATGAAGGACTTCTTCTCTTTCAAATATGAAAGTTCAATATCATAAACTCTCAAATTGCTCAATAATGCTTTTAGAATAATATGAAAGTTTTCAAAAAGCATATAAGTATGGAACAAGTGATTTGAAAATTTATGCAGAGAGTTTGTGTATAATATGTTTGAAAGAGGTAACCAGTAAAATGAAATTTGAATCCTATTTATAGAGTATGAACAACTCTTGATAAAACATGGCAATGAGTGGATAAGATTTCTGAAAAATAATAAGATTATAATTAAGAGATGCCATGAAAAGGAGTGAATGAAGGAGTGATCACATTTCAACATTGTTCAAAAATTGTTTAGGTGCAATCGATTCCAAGGACTAAAAATTTTAAGAAATACACTGCTGCAATCGATTGCAAGGCCCTGTTAATCAATTGCAAGGGCTAAAACTTTTTTTTTATAATTCCATTCAATCGATTACAATAAAGCCTCAATTGATTGCATACTGAAAATTTTTGATAATTTTTCTAAGTTCAAAACTTCATGAATGCATCAAAAATTATTTTTAGACAAGACTAGTAAAATCATTTGAAAATTATTTTAACAAAGTATAAAATGAATTTTTCAAATGCATGGTCAAATATATTGAACACTTTAGGATTTCTATGTGTAACACCTCATACTACTTTCAAGATTATCGACTAACCCCACAAACCAACACGAGTCTTTTTAGCATGTTTTGTCCTTACTCACACGCTTTACGAGAAACTTCTCAAAAGGTCACCCATCCCAAAATTGCTCCAAGTCAAGCATGCTTAACTATGGAGTTCTTATGGAACGAGCTACCGAAAAGAAGATGCATCTTGTTAGTACGAATTAATCCTTATAAGCCTCCATGCAGTCTCATACCTACACAACCTCATGAGCCCTCTCATTCCGATGTAAATTCGGTTTTCCCCTAGAAGCTGCTAGAAGTATCTCATTGTCATGCTTCATGCACCGAGAACCACTGCCTCACTCTCGAGTGTTACATTCAACCACTCTCTATCCTCTTCGACCTTGGGTGTTACACTATGATAAGAATTTCATATACCATGAGCGTTGATAAAAACAACTTTTCATTCTTCTTTGATAATTAAACATGAGTTTTTTTTTTATAATATTGTCTTACACTCATACACTCAAACACAAACACTCAAAGAACATACGTGAAAGAGAAAAATAAAAGAAGTGTTTCTCACACTCATACACTTAGAACATCTTCTTTGAATATATTTCTTAAGTGTTATATTTGATTTAAACTTGTTTATTTGGTTGTTTAGAAGCATCTTACAATACACAAACTTTGTTTATCTTAATGTTTGGTTAATTTCGTTGAGAGACTAAGTTTAGTCAAAATTTTCAAGAAAGTATTAACAATTAGTCTTTGAGTTGTATTTCCTTAAGAGACTATGGTATATTTAAAATTTCTCAAGAAGTCTTACATTGTTTTTCTTTGAGTTGTTGTAATCAGTTTTGGTTATTGAATTAACTCTTTATTCAGAACGCAAAATCACACAGGCAGGTGGACAATACATAGCTTTGTTAACAACAAACTAAAATAAAAAATACTTGTGTCTTTTTCTTATCTTTATCGTCGCTGATTGTGTTCTTAGGTATCAAAAATTTTAAATCTAAAAACCCAATTTAAATTCTCTTTTTATAAGCTAAATCTATACTAGTATAACAAATTTAATCAATATTATAAATAAACCTACAGAACTTTTATGAAAATAAACCTACACAACTTTTACATAATTTATTCATGACAATAAACCATATTGGCGACAAGAACATTAATTACTGATTGTTATTAGCCATTAGATTAAAAAGAATTAGTGATTAAGTTATGGAGTAATTTTAATAACTTATTTAATTTTTATAACACACTTTTAATAACTTAAAGTATATTAACTAAGTTAAAAAAATTTATTTTTAATGTAAATTATATATATATATATATATATATATATATATATATATATATATATATATATATATATATATATATATATATATATATATATATATATATATATATATATATATATATAAAATCCATCAATTTTCAATAAAAAGACTAAAATATTAAATGTGTCTTAAATTAGTTGCCAAACTTTTTAATGACTTGTGACATAATCTATAAAAGAAATGTGAGTTTCGTGTACTGTCTCTAAATTTCATACTTCTGATTTAGCACACAATCCATGAAGAAATAAAAAACAAGCTAAAATATTAATTGCGTCTCAATTTCGTTTTCTAAATGTAAACAAATTTTGGATAAATCTATGAACAAATAATAAATAAATTAAAATGATTTTTGTTTGAAATCTATATTCAAATTCCGTATAATTAAGGACGAATTCAACTAACAAAGAAAAAAAAAATAGGAGTCTTTTGAAATCCTAAAATCCATCTATTAATTTTAAATAAATTTTAGCAAAAAGAAAATGAGAATATAGATTTGGAGTGATATTCATCTCTAAATTATATATAGATTTGAAAATCATCCCTAATTAAATATAGTGTAATTTAAAATAAAATATATTCAAAGACACATTGATCCAAATTAATGCAACACTTAAACTATTCAAATTCTTTCATTTATGATTATGTCCAAACTAATATGCAATAATTCCCATGATTCTCAATCTATTCATCCATAATTTTTACAATTTTTTTATTCATCGGTAATATTACTATTAGACTAATAAATTTTCATAATTTTATAATTATTTTATTTTCTTTTGTATTATTTTTATCTTACAAAATTTTCAAAAATAACATGTTTTATGTAATTTTTTATTATTATTAAATATTTTGTCATATTTAATATTCCCTCGATTTCCCCAAATCGAGGAACCGTAAGACACTCAATTCTCTTCAGATTCCGCCTTGTGAACGATCTCGATCTCGATCGGCGGTCGTTGATGTTGTTATATTCATAGCTGTTATAACCGCTTTAGGGTTCTTGGTTTTTCCTTATATTCAATTTGTGATGAGTGAAAGTTTCAAAATTTGTTGCTTGATTATTGATTTGGTGAGAGAAGAGGTCTCTGTTGCTCCTGTGATCTATGTTTCTATAGGTGTTAGTGCATCATGTGCTGTTTGTGCCACATGGTTTTTCGTGTCGTATATATCAAGGAAATGTGGGAACCCTAATTGCAAGGGGTTGAAGAATGCTGCTGAATTTGATATTCAGTTGGAAACTGAAGATTGTGTGAAGAATTCGTCTTCGTTGGGGAAAGATGGTGGCGGAGTTAAGAAGGGTCTTTTTAAGATTCCTTGTGATCATCATCGCGAACTTGAAGTCGAGCTTAAGAAGATGGCGCCGATTAATGGAAGGGCTGTTCTTGTTCTTAGAGGAAAGTGTGGTTGTTCTGTTGGTAGGTTAGAAGTTCCGGGTCCGAAGAAGAATAGAAAGATCAAGAAATAGGATACAGTAAATAAAAGGGACTCTTAACTCATAGGAAGGAGAGAATTTGAATGCTGAATTTGATCCTAATTGAGAAGAGGGGTTGGTTATAGTTATATGGTCATGGTCTTCCATGTAGCATAGACACAACACCGATACGGGGACCCATGTGGTTGTGTTTGATGTTCGTATCTGGGCTTCCTTGATGGCCATTTTATTAGGGATTTAGATTGTCTTTAAATAAGCCTATCAGGCAGTAAGTTGTAAGAAACTTTGGATCATACACAGTTTGATTATTTATACCTTGGAATATCATAATACTTTGATCTGATTTACTTTAATAATTTGCAGTTTTGTTTTTGTTCTTTCAATTTGATGTTTGTGGTTTTCTATTATTTCTCATGGTTACCGGCTATATAGATTATGTAGCACTGACACTTTAGATTGATGGCGTGTTAGGTGTTTGGCAAGTGTCACATTCCAACATCACCGACACTTTATATTGATGGCGTGTTCGGTGTCCGGCAAGTGTCACATTCCAACATCACCGACAGTTTAGATTGATGGCGTGTTCGGTGTCTGGCAAGTGTCACATTCCAACATCACCGACACTTTAGATTGATGGCGTGTTCGGTGTTTGACAAGTGTGTCACATTCCAACATCACCGACACTTTAGATTGATAGTGTGTTTGGTGTTTGACAAGTGTGTCACATTTTAACATCACCGACACTTTAGATTGATGGCGTGTTTGATGTTTGGCAAGTGTCACATTCCAACATCTACATGCACAATACCAATACCTATGTTTACATTCAATTACTTATATTTTCTAAAATTATTGCCTGTGTCTATGTTTCTGTGTTTATGTTAGTACATCATATGTTTTAATGTTCATTCTAATTGTGTGATAAGTTTCGAGGATTGAAGTTGCCATTGTTTTTTTATTTTATTTTTTATTTTAATAGAATGCAGGGTTACAGAATTTGCTGCTGTTCTGGTTTTGATCTTAGAAATGTTGTCCTGGATTTTCATGTTTTCTTCGCATACTTGATTGGACAACATCTGTTAGACTTACTCTTCTAAGATATGCATTTTCTCCATTGACTATGTGAATTGTTTCATCATATTGATTGCCATTGTAGGCTTACTCTTCTAAGATGTGAACCATGGAGTGGGCTACTCATCTCTGAGACATTTTATACAGGTATTAATCATAAATTCTGTTTTTTTTTTTATTATTTGAATGAACGTTGCAGAAAATTTAGTTTTGACTATTACATCTGGGTTCTTTTTTATAGTTTGTTCTATGAAGCACGGACACAGACACAACATTGACACGGTCATGTCGACATCAATAATAATATGAAAAAAATAGATGAATTGAACCTAATCACAAGTATCCGTGTCGTGTTGCTGCTATAGAGAATTTGTTGTATGAATAGTTTTTACCTTCTTCCCCCTCTTTCCTGTGATATATGTTTATATATGATCCCGGGCTTAACTGATCGAGCTCAAATGGTTAATGAATTGCCAGTCGAAATCTGGGTTAAGTGATCGAGCTCAAATGGTTAGTGAATTTTAATGACGGTCGAATTGTTTGGGAAAATCTGAGTTTGAATTCTGGCTAAAACAACAATCAGATTTTAGCCACATGCTTTCTGAAATGTTACTTTTAAATTGGAAAAAAAAAGTAGACCAGACTTTAGCCACATGTTCTTTGAAATGTTATTCTTAAATTGGAAATGTAAAAGTGTTAAAATATTAAGAGTTTCAATTACACGACTCAATAAATCTTGTAAAGTATCATACTTTTCAAATATGGATCTTTAGTATGGAAGAGATGTGAGAGGAGCTACAACTTAAAAAATAAAAAGGAAATGTTATTTCCGCGATTGGTGGGGTCTTTCACACATTTGAAAAATTATTTTATGATGAATTTAGAGATACATGTTTGGTCTTTCACACATTTGAAAAATTATTTTATGATGAATTTAGAGATACATGTTTGGACGCATTCAAAAATTACACTAAAATGCATCTTTTTGAGATTTATTTTATTTTGTAAAAAATATAGTTCAGAGATGTATCTCCATATCATATTTTGGTGTATTCAAAGATGCATCTCCATATCATATTTTGGCGTATCCGAAGATGCATCTCCGAAGTATTCATGTATGGAGTTTTGTTATTCTTGCAACTGATTTAAATAACAAGTCAATGATATTTTCGGAGATGTATCATTGAAAATGTTCAGTTTGAAATTTGATAAAACACCACTTTGTATGATCTTATTCTTCATGCTAAAAATATACTTCATTGTAAAACCTTTAAAAAAAATGCTCTCATTCTCAATAAACTTTTCAACACTAAAACATCATTCTTGTATTTCATCACTTCAAAGGGAGCAAAACAAATTAGAATTGCAAGTAAACATCATTCATTTCACCCCTCATTCCTTGCATTAATCTTGTTTATGAGCTGAAAAATGAACATTGAATTTTGATATGCATCTCCAGACGAAGTTAGATGTGGTCGGTAACACCCTAAACCCGACACCCTTGTTTGATTATAATAAAACATATAATTTCACACAACTTTGGTGTTACACATTCACAACAATCATCTCTCTCAATTTATAACATATATTAAATAATAGTAGAACATCAAAAACTCTGAATCAAACATTTATTTTGTTTCGACATAGGTATTAAATAAAAGAATTCAAACATCTCAAGAAACACATCATGTAACAAAACAACTCGTCTCAGTGTTACAGATTAGAGCTCAACGAAAATTAAATAACTAAAAAAAAGTAAATAAATGAAAAGGCCTCAACGCCATCCTCTAGCTCAAAAGAAGCTACTTTTTTACTTGATTATCTGTACTCCAAGAGAGTACAGAATACCACAAAGCAAAGATGGTGAGAATTCGCTCAAAATATGTTAACGGTGCAACAATTAGCAAGGTTAGTAACATACATAACAATCATCAATATATGAATTAATCACAACAACAATTTACTCATATCTCACTCACACAAAATCACATAATCACCAATTCATGAATATCATTCTCACAACGATAATAATAACACAATCGCAAAGCAAATATATATGCAATGCATCAGCTCTTCAACTCTTTATATATGTGGTACTAATTTGAAAATCAAAGATATATTACTCATTTTGTCCTATCATTAAATGGCATTCCCTTATAAACAATAAACATCATTGATCCCCCCTTTTTGAATCAGACCTCGTCACTGATTCCCCCCATTTTGAATGAGGACTCGTTATTGATCCCCCTTTAGAATCAATACTTGTCACTAGTTCTCCCTTCTAAACTAGCGACACAACACTGAACCTTAACGGCATCCTCTAGCTCAAAAGCAGCTACTCATTTGTCTAATCATCTGTACTCTAAGAGAGTACATAACACCACAACAGAGCAAACAAGGGTGATAATACGTTCAAAATATGTTAACGGTGCAATAGATAGCTAGGGTAGCATCGTACATAACAATCATCAATGTATGAATTAATCACAACAACAATTTACTCATATCTCACTTAAACAGAATCATGCAATCACCAATTCACGAATATCATTCTCACAACAATAATAATAACACAATAGCAAAGTAGGTATGTATGCAATGTATCAACTACTTAACTTTTAATGTATGTGGTACTAATTTGGATATCAGAGGTATGTTATTGATTTTGTTCCATCATCGAATTGTCCCCCTTTTGATGCGTGAATATCACTATTCCCCTTTTAAATTAGGACTCGTCACTGATCCTCCCTTTTGAACCAATACTCATCACTAGTCCCTCCTTCTGAACTAGCGATAAACACTAGACAAAAGTCCGTACACTATGTTGCATGAGAATGCAGCAACACACAGATGTAATGAACATTCACTAGTTTCCCTTCAAACCATATACTTGCCACTAAGGCCACCATCTCAATATAACTAATCATGCTTTATATTTACGACTCACTAGTGCATAATCATACAAGCATCCAACATACATCCACAAGTATTTACATAAAGCTGAGAGGTAAGATATATTATTTTTTTAATTGAAATTCGTTACATTGTTTATACAGAAAATAAATAAAAATAATTTGTTTATAAACTACAATATTTACCAAAAATATTACATTGTTTACATCTAATATTAAAATAAAAATTAATTTATCCCTGAAGATCATATGTTGGATCTTCGACTCCTTGATATTTGGGAAGGATCAAATGCTTCACCTTACAAGTATTTGTTTGTGATATAAAATGAAAAAGGGTTAGAAAAATAAATGATTTGTTGCTCAAATGAATATTTAAAAACACAAACTTTAAACCCAAATAATTTTCTGCACTTGCAAACTTTAAAAATCGAGGCGAACATGATTTTTTTATATTTTAAAATTATATTGCTTACACAGAATATTAAAACAATAATACATCAAAAGAATAATTTTGGTGTAAGAAGTTATCTGATCCAAATATTGTACGCATCTAATTTTTAGGAGTTATCTGGTCTAACCATTGAATGCATCCAACTTCTAAAGAAATTATATGTTTCAACTATTGAAAAAATATTTTTCTGGACTTGCAATCCATCATATAAAACTTTTACAAGCTTCTAAATACAACAACAACATCAACACCATTTTGTGAGATGGATCCCAAAAGAATGACGCGTTCGAGTTTGGATCGACTACATATAAGTTAGAATTTGGGTAAAATATGTTTAACAAGTGCTTTTATAATAGAATCTAATTATCTTATCTCTTGGTTATTAAGGAAACCAATGGGATATATTATTTAGTTTACAAAATAATAATAATAATGAATTATTTTTTCCTCAGTTTTTTGAATAATCGAGATAATAAGTTGATTGTCCCATTTGTTTTTAATAACACTGAGGTAATATGTGGCTTATATTTCTAAAAAGTAAATAAATCATGATGCACATTGAATTCATATCACTAAAATAGCAATGATCATCCATATTC